ACTGCTTAAGGCCGGTCGTGCACGGCCTTTTTATGGAAGGTATTTAATCTGTTAGCTCCGTTCTTCAAAGGGCCTCCGGCCGGAGACGGAAATCTGTGAGGTAAGGTGAGGTGTGACAGTTTTAGGGTCGACCTTTTCTAACCCCACCCCTCCTTGTGGGAAGGCAGCATCGCTGCAGATGCTGGCTGTCCGAGGGAAACCCCTTACTGCTGTCATACCCCTCTACAGTCAGCAGTACGAATTCCCCCTCATACCTTGAATTGCTGCTTTTAGTCTTACCGTTCTCCAATCGACCTGCCTTGTATGGTAGACCCTACAGGAACATATGTTCTAGCCAATATAGCTCGGTCGGGTCATCACGATAGGCAAGCCCGACCACCGCGTCAAGGTAGCAGCTTCGGTCGGGGTAGTTTACGTAGTAACAATATAAGTGGTAAACAACACAGATTAGGCATATATGATTTGAGAAGATAGTATAAATTAGTGGAACATAAGAAATTTCGCAAATTGTTTAGAAATTCAAGATTTAAGAGAAGACAAGAGGTGAATGTCCCGGCGTAGTCGGGAACGATTTCGAATCGTCACCTTGTCTCTAACCACTGTTTACTATAATTACACGGACAGCAACCAGGTGTTTACATTTATTTGCATGACTCAATCCAATTGTCAACGACTTCATGGACTGCTACAATGCATTGGTTATTCTGCCTCTAGTTTCTAACAACCTAGTCCCCTACACCTGGCAACATTGTCTGCGGAAGTAAGCCGTGTTTGGTAAGACGTAACCAATGTCTTAACCATCTCAATCGACAAATGCTGGCTACCTCATCAACTGATATCATTCTTATCTAGTACTCTGCATCTGACCTAAGAATTGGAAAAGATAACCGAGATTTCGTCAGACACCAACCCAGGTCTGATGAGACCTCCAAGATAAGTGAAGTGATCGACAGACTCAATGCTTTGATAACTAGTACACAACGCATAACCTCGAGACTACTTACCATGTGAGAAATACGCTATGAAGTCATGTAAGATAAAATGCCAACAATCTACACGCATAAACACAATACATACATAAATAATGATAGCTAAGGGTCAAAATTCAGCTATAAACATGAGTTGGGATTCGATCCTATTTATAAGGTCAAACATTTTATTTGTTTGTTCAGGAACAAAAAAAACCCAGGAAGTTAGTGAATAATTATTGAGACCGAGAATAAATAATAAATGACTTGTAAATCAATAACTAATATAAGTACAAATAATTACTACTGTAAAGTGAAGTATTCGAAAATATACAAGCTTGACGACATAACATGACTCAAGTTATTATCTTTATACCCTAGAGTACGTAGGCATAACAGATTCGATACATAAACAATACAATAAGAGAGTGACTGCATCCACTAATCAACTCACAATACCAACATTTTCTCTGACCTCATTTCCATTCCTTTGGCCAACTACAGAAAATGTTCAAGTCGTGTAGGAAATATATGTGTCTTTTGTCTAGTTAGAGCTATAACAAGGATAAAATATGCGATTGGTACGATTTAAGGGAGACAAAAAGAATGTATGCAAAGTAACCTCTACTAGTCGATTTGTTGATATGTATAAACTCAAATACACTAAACAAGAGAAAACAATAGGGATAGAGGTGGACTACAAACTTACTATAACAATTAAGAGAGAAAAATCGATGAGATCAGTCTCAAATCTAATAATATCGATGAGATGTAGGGTGAGTCACATATACATAAACTAACGTAGGTATATACAAAATCAATACATTTCGAGACCAATTATTTGTACAAAAAAGAAAAAAGCCTCAGTGTTATGTATTTTTAAATAGGACAAGTAGGAATTTTTATGCAAAGATGAACTAATTTTGTGGTAAAACTGAAAAAAAACAATTGTTCACTGGACTGGTTAGTCCAGTCTAGACTTTGTTAAATCCTGAAAACCAAGATAGTATTTATAATGAGATAAGATTAAACTAGGTATGATTGATAAGAAATGACAAAACATTTGAGTATTTGTAATTATAATAAAGTAGTTCACAAATGAGATGAAGTTACAATTTTTTTCAATAGATTTTTTAGGGTTATATAGTTGCAGAGCAAGTGAGTTTACAATCTACTGAATGAATGAACTATGGTTACTAAATATTATAATTGGTTAGTGCTACTTTGAATTAGTTAAATATGATATAATTGGGGCTTTGATAAGAACCTCTCTTCTACAAATAAAAAACACGAACTGAAACGTCTTAAAAACTTAGTCAGCTGACGAAATTTGAAACGGGCTACTACTCCTAAGTACAAAATAACTCAAATACTGTCACATTTTAGTTGATGAACATTAATAAGACAAAAATTTTCATCTGTCTAACCATTGCGAGAATGAATCTCTCAACAATGAGATTTGAAATAAGCAATTACCATGCACCAAAAAACACAATTCCCATTATGTTAGTTGGTTATGTCTAATTTAGTGAACCTATGAATAGGGTCACGGATATCCTGTGTAATTATCATAATGTAATGGAATCTGACTGAATTCTCGGCATAGGGTAGTGGATAATATTGAATTTTATTGAAATCACGAACTAATCAGAGTTAGGAGATTGAAAATCTGGAAACACTGGGTAGCCGCTTCTTTACTAGTGACTAGCTTCTAGAGGAAATTTCCGATGAACCAGAGAGAACCCATGTCTAGTGCAGCTAAACCGTATCGAGTGTGAGGAAGGTACCTAACAAAGACCAAAAGTCCTGGGTTCGATTCGCGAGTGTGGGATCGTGGACAAGCAGTCATAAGGAGCCCCGTACTAGGACGAAACGGCCATCCAATCTTCCAAAGTTTCTAATGGTCGTCCAACTCTGACCCCTTTGCGATGTCAATATATATAAGGCTATCGATTAAAAGAACATTTTTAGGAAGAGATATGCGTTTAAACTTTGACATAGATTATTCTAACCAAAGGCATATTGTAATCCGTAAGTGTTTTTATTATCTTAAGAGAATTGGTAACAATGATTTGGATGGACATTTACAGTCAGCAGCTATATATAAACACACATAACCACCAGTAATACTTTCTTAAATAAGCTTCACTTCACTGATTTGTCAAAAAATTGAATATCATAAATTACCAGGGTGCAACGTGGAAACTGAGTGATTTTCACTCGAGGATACTCAACAAGATTACTTGATAAGAGGTTTACTAAACACTATGATAAAATTTAGTTTCACTCTAAACTGTTTAATTGACACACATTTCAGGCATATTTTGATAACAATCACATGATTCGAAGCAATTAGTCTCTTTGACAAATTTCGATAGTGTAATAAGAAGACGAAGATTATCAGAACTATGTCGTATATTAGCTCAATAATTTCGGACAATACGACTACACATATACTTGTTAAGAACATTTATATATAAAAATAAAAAGTCAAATAGACTAGAAATGGAGGGTAAGAGTGTTATATCCGGTGAAGATTAAATTACAGGTAAATTCCAAGGACTATTCATGGACTAATATTCTATAAATATTCTTATTGTATAACTATTCAACAATTACATTATGTATATTTATCCCCCTCTTATGACAAGCTTTATTTTGACCTATAACTTATTATTGTACGATTTACGGTTCTTAAGTTATGTTCAGTTTATTAACTACTGCCTCCCACATTCACAGCCACTTTTTGGGCTTATTTGTGTACAAATATTATTTCCTATTTTATGGTACGTTGCGGTCTGTGTGATTGATATATAAACCAAGTATGCCTGAAATAAACGATCTGCTCTGATTCGGAAGCTGGTATCTTGTTCTGGACTCAAGTGGAAGGGCTCGTAGGACATAGGACCAGTAAGGACGCTAAACTGCCCACACCGGTTGAACGTCATTGGTTGGCCTAGTGTGAAGATTCGTATAAGTCGTATCCGGATTGGTCGATAGGTCGCGTGATAGCAAAACAAGACATTCAAGGTCATAACAAAGAGGAGACAAGAATAATAAAGAAAATAGTGTGAAAACATTATTCGAAACAATTTGAAACCTCATCACTCTGGATAATTAGCTAATAATAATAATAGGTTCAAGGTAAGAACAAACTGATTGAATGCACAAAAGGGTTTTGAATTTTCGTACGGCTAAGGCTTCAATAAACCATAAAACACGCCCGTTCATACTTTTGTACAACACCACAAAAGCCGTGTTAAGATCTGTTTCAACTATGTATTTGGTAATGGAGGATGATGAATGTTTATCCTTTACTCTTATCGGGTCATTAACAAGTATGTGTATGATCAGATTGTTCAAAATGTATTGCGATAAAATATCACATAGTTCTAATAATCTTCGTCTACTTATTACACTATCGAAATCACACGATTAAAAAAGTTATATTGTAAACAATACTGTAATACTATTGGTAATACTACTACTACTTCACAGATCAAGCAGAACACGTTTTGTGAGGATCAACTAGTTTGCAAATTCATTATGTAATCAAGTTGATTTCAATAATTTAAACTTTAAAAGCAAAAACAGAAACAACTTATTTTAATATTAATCATTCACCACACTAAAAACATGCAACGTCGAATTACTTAGTCATAAAAAACAAAAGGAAAAGGCAATTGAAGATGTGGACAGCTTACTGCAATCCAAATCTACTCAGTTTCTTTGATAAGCAAACAAAATCTGAAACTTTCCTGAAAGAGAAAAAAATAACTAGGACAAAACTATAAGAGACAATTAAAACAATTAAGAATGAATGAGTTGTCAGCATCTCAGTTTTTCGTTTCACTCCTTTACAGAAGAACAGTTAACAGACATACAAACAGTAATCGATCTGTGAAAACAAAGAAAGCAATCTTGGACGGGAAGAAAAGAAGAGTAGAGACGGATAAAAAGAGAAAGATGAACAAAAAACAACATCAGCAACAAAGAAATTAACAACAAACGAATGTTAAATTATGAACTTACCATGAGATGAGGCATCAAATGTTGGAGTTTTTGTTAAATTACTGTTATACTGTCCTAGAGAAAAAGAAAATGGAAAATAAACTTGTTTTCACTAATACAGTTAAAATAAAATCACAAAGGAAGTTTGTTAAAAATTCAGAATGAAATGAATATATACTATTTTGTTTAAAATATTTGTTTTAAAATTAGAAACTGGATTGTTTATTTTTAAAGTGAGAACAAAAAATTTAATGGGATGAAGTGAATTCATTTCATTTTGTGCGCTCTAAATCCTCCATATACACAGAGATTTGTATAAATCAATAAAATGTTTCATAAATGTAATTTAGTGTGTAGCATGTTTAAAGTCAATTAATTAACTGATAAAAAATAACTATGAACACTTTGTATATTCATACAGGTCTAATTTATTGGTGAACGGATAAAGTGAGAGATGATGAAAATAATAGCAACTGTCAAGAAAAAAATTAACCATAGCAGTCATAATAATAATAGTTAAAGATGATATTAGAAGACAAAAGTACTTGGATGCTTACGTAAGTAAGGAGTCAAACATTTTTCGTGAATTATGTCAAAATAATGAGGCTAGTTATGTTAACCATAGCCTTTATCAGTAATTGACACTGGGAGAAATGGCTGACGACAACTAATAACAGCATCCGATTTCCCGGTTGTCATGACCTCAAACAAAATCGAAATCTACTAATAAGACGCGACAGCACACTTTAACTGATATAATGTGTATGTTCTGAAAACGATTAAGGAATGAATGTCAATATACGGGTGAAAACAGGATGACACAAATTAAGAGGGAACCTTTAGGAAACAACTTAAAAATACATGATTCATAAGTTGTTTAGATTAAATATTGAAACTGAATCATCAGTTGAGATGGCTGGGACACGTGTTACGTATGCCCAACCACCGACTACCTCGACGTGCGATGCTCAATTGTATAGGAGTAGGTTGGAAGAAAGCAATGGGCGGCCAGACCAAAATATGGCACAAGTTCATGAAGTCACTCACAATTGGACTGAGTCATGTTGGTAGGTGTAGACTACCTGGTTGGGGACCACGAGATGATAGCAACCGATGGTTAGAGACCCTGAATGACATGGCTCAAAATCGTTTGCAAACGTGCTGGTGCATTCACTCTTTGTGTTCTCCCGATTTCTAATATCTTGAATCCTCCTTGTCTTTTTTCTCTCTCCAAATTTATTTCACTGAATTATCTTCAAACCCTAATGTTTCCGATTACTGCCTATACTCTTACCGCCTCTACCACTACGGGATTTGAATCGACAACTGCATCTCTGTGCTAATGTGGTGTGGCAACTCGAACTGACGTACGTACGTACGAAGTTCTACGTTGTTACTGACTGGCTGATTGATACTGAAATGGATGTTAATTATGTGAAGTGAAACCAGATGCGAAACTGATAGGTGATATTTTTTTACAATCCAGTATTATTGGCTGAATATACACCCTAATAGTCATAACTCTTGTAAGCAAAATAACTCATCGAGCAAGTGGGATAGTTACAACATCATGTATATTTTAGGATAACAGATATCAATTTTATTGCTATAGAATGTTTATTAAACAAGCCAATCACTAGTGATATATCTTGATATTTCACGTATCTTCGTATTCACTTCACAACCCAAATCAATTTGGAAATAATTAGAACAATTTCGACTTGATTAAAAAGTGTTACAATGTAATTTGTATCAAGATTCGGAAATGAACTATTCGAACTACGGGATTGATGCACTCACAAGTGAGGAAAGATGCGACTACAGCATGAATCCATTGATAAGTTTAACACACACGTATACATCTTAATCAATTAAAGACTTGAAAAATCTAGTAGAAATAGAGGATAATTATGGAACTTACCAAACGCCTTGAACAATACAAGATAATGTGGCTCACAATATGGATTGCCTTCCCATACACTGTATTTGCCCAAGCTATGAAAAGTTTTCAACAATAACGAATGAATGAAAAAACAAGTTGTGTCTAGTTGCAAAATTTAAGCAGTAAGCATAATTTAAAGGAAATATGGCAGTCGATAAGTAATTAACGCCAACTACTGACATGGATTGTGAAAATATATGACAAAAAACTAAGTATATTCAGTGTCTGACATGTACACAGAGATAATTTATTAAATATGTTGAACAATGTACACGGTTGGCTAACTAGCTACAATGCTGAATGGTCAATTTGTTTCAACTTTGTAACAGGTACGTGAACATGTATGTGCATTTCGAAAAATGTCATACAATGATCATCAATAAACATTTATCTTTAATCATCGTAAGTCTTATGTATATATTATTGCTTTGACTGTTACTGATGACCTAATCATGTTGCGCACGTAATTCACAAAGCTCATCGATAAGCTTACGTATATTAATGAAATAGGCAAAGCTTGTGAGTTAGAAGCCAAAAACTTATGTTCATGTCCATTGTAACTAATCAACGTGAAGTATCTAAAACTTTCCAGAGAACGGTGCTTAGCTATAAGCTCAAATGTGTACTTTAGTGCGAGAGTCAGAGACGTCACCAGTCGGGTAACGAAGCCCTTCTGTAGAACTGTGTCAATTATATAAATCTATTATCATATTTAGTCCCCAGATTTAGAAAAACATTTGGTTTACCAAATTAGTTTGATAATTCATTTTTTAAGACAGTTTGTACCGCTATATTTTAGAAAATTTTCTTTTCGTAACTTTTAAAGTTTAAAAGCAGATTTTTATTCGTACAAAATACGTATTCATCAATTCACGTAGGCACCACTACAATGTTCACCTTTCACGGTTGATGTTGTATTACGATGACAAAATATTTTTTAATTCATATTTATGATTAAACCAGCGTGCAATGAGCAAATTTTATTATATAATTTGTGTTTAAAAGTTTGTATTCTATAGTAAATTTAGTATTTCAACACATTCCTAGGACTATTCTTCAGTGATTTAGCTGCACGAACACACTGACTAGATATATTCTGGACAAACGTTAACCCTTAAACCTTAAAAGGATATGTGAAGATTGGGTGAAACATCCGAAATTAAATGCCATTTACAAACTACAATTGTTAATTCCTTAACAGCCCTATTTTATAAAAATCTTTTTGATATTACTATACAAACTGTGTGATATATTTGTGTGCAAGTCTGACAGTTGGATCTATTCGTAGGCTAACTGTAGATATTATTGACATGATGAAGTAAGCTTATCCATGGTAAGTTTATCTCGTATTATAAAGTAGAAAGAAGAAAGTCTTGTTGAATTGGATTAGAGAAAACAATGCTATACATTTTGATGAATAATAATATTAGGGCTATCAATTCATCTCGGTAGAACTATGAAATGAATCAAGGTTTTCATCAAATATGAAGAACTGTTTTAACATCTTGTGAATCTAGTCAAACCAGCTGACGTATATGTATATCTCTAATTGATATCAAAGACTTTTTATATATTTTAGTGTTAAGCTGATTGAAATGAGGCATGATATTAATTGATAAAATTTAATCAAATATTGTCCCAAATATGACAGAAAGAAATCAGCATAGTCTACTCATTGTATTGTGCAATACTCAGTATAAATATATAACCGTTAGGGTTTATCAGTTTTATATGAATCGCTGTTAATTTTAACTGATGTAATTATCAATTATTATTATTGTTCACACCGTGACCTCAGGTACAACTTGAGTAATTGTCACGAATCATAAAGGATTTGAATGATAAGCCTATTTTGTAATTTACATACATATCCATACACACACATATCACAATCAACAATAATGATGACTGTCAAAATAACCTGACAATGTAGCAGTGTGTAGTAATATTATTACAATTGATAATATTACTACTTATTTGATGAATAGAAAGTAGAATATGCATTACATAAAATTATGGAGAAATTTAATCATCTCACATGCAATCGATATAGTTAGTTAGATATACATGCTACATACATACCTAATGTGATTAATTCTCCATTTTTTTTACAAGTATATAACTCTTCTTTTATAATCTGCTTCTATTTAAGTATTTGTGTACGCTAGTTTGAAAGTGTCCACCTTGACCTTATGCATATATATACATTGATATGAGAAAGCATACAGAAATTCATTGCTTTAACTCAGTAATTAGAAGATGGAATTAGTAATAAATTTTTAAATATATTAGAATAAAATGATCTGTGCAATTGAATTGTAGAATATATCAATATTAAAGTACATATTTTCTATCATTTAAATGACATTAAAACTAGTTCATAAAATACATTCATTCTATCTTTATGTATATATATATGCCATGTACTTTTTCAAATACAACTCATCTATCTACCTAGTCATCATCATTATTATCATCGCCAACACAGCTGAAATGTATAGTTAAAATGGCGATTTAGGGAAATGTATACATTTATAATGTAAAAGGTCTTTACTAAGTAGCAAACAGTAATTATCACATTCAATCGCGCTTTAGTACGCTAAATTCCTTGGATTTACCAGTATCAAAGCACCATGTTATTGTAAATAATTTGACCTTAATTACATTGTATTAGATAATGAATGCCACAAAGTACATTTATGCCTATCTGCTGAAATGAAACCAATTCAACAAATTAAGAAAATGATAATAAATCCATACAAAACTATCACATTTTTTTGAGTTTCATACTAAGAGGAAACGACCGTCCAGTGGCTTCTAGTTTTCTATGGTGGTCTAGCTTCTATTGACTCATGAATTTAACTATTAAATTTTTTTGTATTCACTAAGAGACTTCAGACAGAAACGGAATAGTGAAAAAACTAAAGCACTCGTATCTAAAACTATACATACGGTTGTGTCCTAAATGATATGTTTTGAAAGAAAGTTAGGAGCCGAAAACCGAAAAGTTGAATCTGTTCACGAAGTCAGTGACTACTGGACTTAGCCATGTTCGTAGGTTCAGACTGTATGATTAGGGTGCGGGTGATTATCGTAACCACAAACCCCTACTGGTAGGTTTAGGATCCAAAAAGGGTAGCCGTGTTTATACAGCAAACCGTCTACAACGATAGGCAACTACACTGTTGGGCTATGATTTCAAGATAACATATCAATCGATAATGGATTTCAGACAGGCAGATGCTCTCTGAAGATTAATTGGTCCTCGCATAAAACAAGAAGAGGGGGTGGTTGTAGCTGCCGTAGAATCTGAGGCCGAAGTTCTCACAGTGTTGACAGACAGTTTATAGATTGCCAGTCACACTCGAAGCCATTAAAGAAGCTAGTGAGAAGGATAATACGGTGAAAATCGTTCGCCACCATATACTCAACAAGTGGCTTTCACCACGACTTCATGGAGAGCTTTCACAATACACTCGTCGGTGAAACTCTCTGCCAATTGTCCATCCATGAATCATGTTTGGCTACCGGATTGTTATCTCCAGAATTCTTCGACATAAAGTTCTTAAACATTTCCATAGCAGGTATCTGGGAATAAGTAAAACGAAGTTGCTGCCTCGGAATCACGCATACTGACCATCAATGGACCGTTATATAGAACAAAGGTATCGTAGCTTTGGTCCTCGTCTAGATTCCGCAAAGAATTCGACCAAAGCAGAACCCAAACCACGGCCAAAATCGGATGGACCTTGGCAAAGAGTACATGGTGATTTTGCTGGTCCAATACAATACAGAAACTACTTGGTTATTGTGTATGCTTTCACGAAGTGGCCAGAAGTATACGATATGCCGAACAATAAGAAAATTGTCAAGTATTTGCTTGTTTCGTGGTTCCGGAGATCTTGGTAAATGACAATGGCATTCAGTTCATATTGTCCGTTTTCAAACGGTTCTGCAGTGAAAATGGCATTACGCATCCACAATCTCCTCTGTACCATCCCCCATTCGAATGACCAACAAAAAGATTCTTGGATACAATGATGATTTCGCTTTTACTAAAAAATATAAATACCTAAGTGTTTTGTTCCATGTTTGACACTGTTTGGAATAAGATTACTTCCTATTCGTCTTTTGTCTCCTAGTTTGAGACTTGGAAGGTTCCAGAGTTTGAGTGCTCAAGTTGTGCGTGGTACAACAAGAATACAAGCTCTAGATATAACACTATGTTTCATCATTTAAATATGTATACATTTCAGTGTATGACGAGGATTCTCAGAAAATATGCGTGAATACAGTAATTTCGATTACAAACAAAAATGAGTTGGGAAGCAACAAAAAAGTAGTAAGCAGTGAAAAGTTTTGTACATAACTGATATTCTTTATTAATGCACACACAACTCTAAACGGAATAGAAGTTGTAACCTACGAGTCTTGTAGGTGTACATTGATGAGAATGTGGCCAAATTAAAATAAAACAGCTATTCAGTTGTATATGCTTCCCAACATATCTTTAACTGATGTCACTTCATTATGTAAACAACTAATGGACAAAAACATATATCACACGATCTACAGTGAGATACAGAATCCCATAAATCGTCTACAGATGTGGTGAATACTATTAGAAAGATTGCTTGTAAGTAGTATGCAGCAGAACGTGGCGTCGAAGTTGTCACAGTTGTAAGACGGAGAGAAGAGTTCGGATAGCAGGAAACACCGCAAGATGCAAGTGGATGGTAGAAGGCTATGTATACATACTATAGCTACATTGTAATTTATCATAATAAACATTTCTTCTGCCCACTGCCTTGTTCTAAATTTGGTGTCGCTGGCAAGAATCAGGAGGAAAGTGCTGCGGCCAGAGCCATTTGAAAGTAAAGACGTAAAGAGTTATCTGAGCCAATTCTAGGACATGGTAGCACTGGTCGATGAGGAGGAGCAGTGGGGAAAGGTGATAGTTTTGGGGACACAAGTGCGCAGCACGGTGGAAGTGGCACCAGATGGTGTCGCTCTTGTTGATGGGGAGGAATCATAGGACGTCCTCGTTTCTCGAACGCTGATGGAGTTCGAAAGTCTGGCTTAGCAGTAGGAAGTATTATAGAAGTTTAAAGTTATGCACCTTGTGCCAGACGGAGACTTACTTGTATTGGCATCTACGTTAGCTAACTTGCTTCGATGTACATTACCCGCACTAGAAGAGGAGTCGAAAGAACAGTTGCTGGCATCTTAATTCCTAGAGAGTGTCCCAGAGATGATAGACCAACAGTTTCGGGTGGCGAATGCCGCACAGTCAATGGACATCTAGAAAATGGCTAGAGCAGCTACACAACTGAAGAGTTTGGCTGTGTCATCAGTAACGAACGACTTCAAGACGTCAGTCTCCATGGAGGGGTGCGTTGAAGGATCTCCGACAATAAGTAGCAGTTCTCAACCACTGGAAAATAATTTTTAGCGATCATCTGTGCGGTAGACAAATGGAGATCGTACATAGATGGTCAACGAGTCCACTATAATGTGTAAAAACAGCACAAGACCCCCAGGAGGAAATTATCACGACAGACGTTTCACGTGCAGAAGTGTGGTTTTACGATTGGTCAAATATTGAGGGGAGAAAATACGGTTGTAGATAAACTACTGCGACCAGAGAACGACCGCGATTTACCCGAAGTGGTTTTCGGAGTCAACACAGTGCAGTCGGACCCAGAAACACTTATTCATTGTTAGGATCCCAAATCAACGCTCAAGGCAGCGAGGCGAGCGCTAGCCGAAGGAACTGACGCTAATACACCGAAACTAAACCAGGATGTAACCACACTTTTCAACCAGATAGATCAGTCAAGTCTGAATGCTGCGGGAATGCTAACTCAAAGTGGAGACGACAGGAGCTAAGTAGTGGTAATCACGAGACAATTATGCTGTGAGGTGATCGGCGAATGCCACCAACTGGCGCATACAGGTGTTGGGAGAACAACTGGTCTCTTACGAAAAAGTCTATAGCAGCCAAGGCTGAAGGGGGACGTGAAGATATATGTACTTGCATGCCCCCAACACCAGTTAATCAAGAGATATAGATGCGTATGCATACCTCTGCCACCAATTCCTGCGACAACTGTGAGAGGTCTAGGGTCGGTAGACGTCATTGGATTGTTTCCTCAAGCATATAAAGGAAATCAGTACCTGTCGGTACACGTTGGCTAAACATAATTGCAATTCCTGACCAACAGGGAAAGACAGTGAAGGAGGTAGTAATTCTACACATTATAGCGGACCATGGAGTTCCGAAAATGGTATTCACAGGTCAAAGTTCATGTTTTGATAGCTATGAGTTTACATCTTGCCTAAGTCACCTGGAGATGAAGAGAATCTGAACAAATCCATATTATCTACAAATTAACGGGCTGACAAAACAAGATGATCACACATTGAATAAATGGCTGAGAGCAAAATGGAGGTAACTGAGAGGCGAAACAACCAACGATATAACAGGCATATTATGCCTCAATCAAACAAACTATCAGAAAGTCGTCTTTATAGTTGATATACGACAGACAATCATCAAGTAATAAACAGTTATTTTAGTAAACTTCAGATGGGTCAGTTGGATAGACAAAACTAATGTTAATATTCAAAATAGAAACCACTGTCTAGGAATTTAAACTAACCAATAACTAATGAGATATGCATACATGGTTAATGATTCTACTCGACTATCCAAGTCGAGGTTTGAGGAGAAGAGGGTTTCAAACATGCAACTCAATTATCAACACTCAAGTGTTCTAATCAATGATTTAACGCTGCAACAAAAAATCTGAAACTCAACTAGTTAGTTCCATTTACCTGGAAGGTTTTAAATAATTAACAAGAATGAATAGTCATCATTATTATTTGACAACAAACTACCTTAGAACACGGTGACATTGATGACACTTGAAACAGCTCTTATGATAAAGTCGACCAATAGTCTGTAAAGCTTCTAAAGGATAGACCACTTCTGCACAAGCATGACACCTTGGTTGTTCAATTGATTCTCTTGTAGGAAGCTAAAATAAAACAAAAATCTTTATGTATATACAAATTCTTCAATTATTCAGAAAACTATATAGAACCAAGGAGACAAAAATTAACGAAGCATGAAAGATTGGAACTAAATAACTAAAAATGAATAAAGGCAAACAAAGAGCGAGCAATGGGAAATAAAATTATATGATGTCATGCGTGAAATCAAAATGAAGAACTTTGTTCTCATGGTATTCCTGCTTCAAAGTCAACTGGTAAATATTTTTCATCAAATCTAATGCATATATATGCATGCACAGATAAATTCATGATTAATCCAACATTATAAAGGTGAGCTGAAAATTAGGACATAAGTTGTTAAAGAAACTCAACTGATATGATATATTTTTACAAGAACATATATATATACCTTGTTGGTGTACTGTTATACATAGACTTGACTGAAACAAGAGTAAATGTATTGACTAAATCTATTATACACTTAAATATCGTTAATTCAAACATGTTAATTAACATGGAAATAAGAAAAAAATATTAAGATCAGAATTAAAATAAATATTTCAGTAGATTAAAAATGAACTTTAAATAAAAATAAATGATAATTGACCAGTTGTTTTGATTACCGTCATCAACGTACTACTCATGTCAATATTTTTGTCCATTTTGGAACCCTATATGATATTTTTTTTGAAGAATAGGGTAAAAAAACTGAATTACTTAATAATATTTGAAACAAAATTATAGTTCATGTAAAGATATGTTAACAATTAAATTTATTTAGTAGTATGTTTATTAATAGTATATATAATCAACCAGAATTTAAATGAATATTAATACTATTGTTAAAATATTTATGTCTCCGGTATTCCTTTTTCATATTGTATTGATGGAATTAAGAAAAAAATTTTCAATGGTTGAGGTCATGAGTCAGTTGAAGCTAGACCACCATGGGAAACCTGGAAGCACTGGAGTTCTAGTGAGAAGTAGTGACCAGTGGAGTTCGACCAGGTCTGTTGTGAGGTAGTAACTCACTGAAGACAATGGTGGATGTGTCGCTCAATTTCGTGGATTAGTTGAAGTTAGACATTAACACCGTTGGATGCCGGCTCAGTGGTCTAGTGGTTAAGTGCTCGCGCGCAAAACTAGTAGGTCCCGGGTTCGGATCTCGCAGGGGGCGAGGTCAAGGATGCGCACTGCTGAGGAGTCCCACGATAGGAAGAAACTGACGTCCAGTGCTCCCAGGTTTTCCATGGTGGTCTAGCTTCAACTGACTCATGATCTTAACAATTGAAATTACTATAATATCCACAAAACCCATTTGATATTTAAAAAATTGTTAATAATTTTCAACTTAAAATGTTTCCATAATATTACATTTATTTGGTTGTATATCAGTAGGGTAATTTCAGTAATCAGTGATTGTGTATTTAAAAAATAATGGATATTCTAACTAATTTAACATGTAAAATATTTGTAAATTTGATAAAAAGTGAATTCTAGCAATTGCACACAAAATGTTAGAAATCAAACGTAATTAAATATAATTAAATTATTTTTTAAATATTTGAAGTATGTATTACTTTGTACAAATAGATTCGAGCACGCAAACAATGAATGGGCATGGTATAGTAAGTACCTAAAATGACGGCTATCAGTGTTAATTACTTTGATTCTTTTATACTTCAAGGTATCATTGATTTATTAAACAATACTTTTATTACTGAAGCCTTCACTGATAATTAACTTTGGGTGAAGACAAAGTATAAACATTTTTTTATTATTTGCTTTCACTCTGTATAGCAACATTGGTTTAGCCGACAAGTCAATAGGTCTTGAGAAAAATCCCCGAGTAAGGAGTCAATAAAACACATTATTTAAGTGTTTAACTGTAAGCAATTTAAAAGACTTAATCAATTTACACTCAGAACATTTTTCAACCACAATTAAGAGCACTTAAAATTATTCATTTCTCTGTAAATACTATCAATAAAGCGTATTCAGTCAAAAAATGAACAACAAATTCGTAATTAAGTACCAGTTTGTGTAATCACACTTGTGGGTATCGTGGTGATAACTACCAGGTTGCTCAAACCGAACTAGATGGAACCTGGGGTTTAACGTTTAAACCAACGATCAATAACCATTAGACCACTGTTCTCCAACTAATTTATTTTTTATGTTACATGTATTCAACGTACATTAAGTTTATATGCAATTCACCTAACTTTACTTTGAAATGAAATCGATTGTCATGAATGAGTATTTTTATAATGACACCCTCTCCAGATTACAAAGCTTTCAATATAATATTTACATCCGACTTCTTTAAATGAAACTTCAAAAATAAATGGTGTTAGCATGATATAATTAAGTGAGTTTTGCCTTCATTGGATTAATTGATTTTCCTACTGAGTACTGTGTGAACAAATTCCACAACTTCCTGCTGGTGAACATATTCCCGGATATTTCGGTCACTACCACCATGTTTATGTTCCACTTGATACATTTAGTTTAATTTTCTATCCTTGACTACAGTTCGACTGGAATCACAATCTTAATGGCTCCAGTATTTTAGTCGAAATTAAGTTTATTAATGATCATATCCACCGTTAATAAAACCTATGGGTGTATATTAGATCATGGAACTGCCGATTATTATTCTCCTTAAAGTGTAGCTAATCATTCAAAGATTCACTCTTAAAATGACTAGCTAGTTGGATGATTAAGCATCCACCCTACTCAACGGAATGTTTATGTAGAATACCAATAAACAAGCTAACAATCTAATAGGAAGAACAGTACTACTAATAAATATATACTAACGACATTTATTGGTATACATTAACGATACATATGCCCTTTTACACAGATATAAATCTATGCATTGTTATAAAGCCAAGGTTACAGACACCTCTTTTCAAAATAGCCATTTACAATTGACTGTTATAGCACTAGTTAGCCAAGATTATTTTTAAGCAACAAATAACTAATTGGGTTTATTTCAAATTTGCCAACAGAAACGAATTTACATGATAAAAAGGGCGTTACACTGGTATCAATAGATATACATATTTCCATGATGAGAGATAGAAAAAAAGAATACCGACGATGAGTAATAAGAGTTAGGCAAGCATAACACTGTAAAAATGGCGGCTAATTTAATGGAAATATTTCAAGATAGGAGCAACAAAAGCATTAGATAAAAAAGCATAAACTTCTGATAAGTATGAGGAGTTGAAAAATACCTACACTGTTCATCAGATGTATTAGTGACAGAAAAGAATAGTAACATTTAAATATTTTACAAATTATCATTACCAACTTGTGAAGTAAACTGAGACTAGCCAAAAACTAAGAGCGAATCCACAATAGTAATATTATTATTACCATTAGTACTATCATTAGCAATAATTACTTAGGGGTATATATATAAGATCCTACCAGTTGGCTACTTAACCAATTATTTAAGAGTTGAAAAAAAGAATATATTCGGACTACTTTTCAGTTACATCATGGATATTAAACGAGTGATAAGACGTTGATACACAACTAACTAGTCACTAATTATACAGCATAAATCAAGATCGTATGGAAAGTGATAGATAGAAAAAGCATAGAATATACATATCATCACATTATATCATGACGAGTTGAAAATATTGACAAATAGATTCCAATTTAATCCATATACTTTTGGCACAAGCTATGCGGAAACCTGAAGGTCCTCGACTCGATCTCTGGTGGGATCATATATACGGACTTCTTAGAAGTTTCTTACTAGAACAAAAGACCTGTTCAGTGCTCTCTGATTTTGAATGGTATCTCAATCAGTGTCAGCCTGTGACGAAAACCACCTCTTAATATGTTTGATCTCCATAAAAATAATCGCAATTACACTAATTAGTTGGCATTCGGGTCAGCGATATCGACTTTTGCCTGAACAGCACTTTAAAGTTCAACTATAAGAATTTACTGCTAAATAGGTTACTATAATTTTACAAACTCAGGACTTTAATAGATTCATCAACAAATACTTTCCCCAATGTTTTATAATTATTGGCTAGTAAAATTCTAATCAGAATTTAATAGAAATCTGGATAAACAGAGTTCATTGATTGAAAACAATCGAGTGAAATATTTCAGCTGGAGAACAGAATTAATTACTATAGTGACTCAATAATATCAAAAAGTAGACCTATTTCATTAACAATCTACTAAATTAATTCATTATTTTCTTAAAAAAAGTATAATCAAGAAAATTAAGCTAGACCAGTAACTGACTAATTAGCACGACAGATAATACAATATACCAATAATTTTACATGTGATGATAAGCAGTCAGTGGTATAGCGAAAATGGTTAGCTGTAAATGTTGGTCGTGTTATGTAGATCTTACGAAAATAATTAAGTCGGATCAGAATTTATTGTTTTAGTGAATTAGGTGTTAGATGGCTGTTAGTTAACAATGTAAAAGTTCCGTTGATTGAAGGCACAATGGTTCAAACTAATTGAACGATGAAAAGACTAATAAAGAACGTGAAATTTACGCCAAAGGGTTGCACGCCACATCGATTGGACTTACTATCAAAGATGGACAAGTACGCCATCTTGTACGATCCTCTAAATTATCATCGGGTACAACATTCATTTTAACTAAACTTTCAGAATCGCAATAATTTTGCATCGTCTGAGATTGGTGCTTTAAATTCTCTACGTTTATATGTTGTTCTTCAGTAATAAATCGTTCTAGTGGTATGGTTCGTAGACGAGTTTCACTAGGTAATTCATGATTTGTTCCATTGTTCATATCTTCAAACTCTTCTGTTTCAGCGAATTCATTGTAATAATTACAACCAATACCTAACTAAGAAATTGAATTTAAGGACAAAAGCGATAACGATTATAACGACAATTTTCACTTGTTTTTCTAGTTAATTAAAACCTTACCAAATATGGATGCCGATAAACTTGTAGTGATAACAGTGTATAATGTGAATAACAGAACTTTTATGGACTTTTTTTGACAAAACATGATGTCAATCAATCACTAAACAAAACTTACTAATGAGTACTTCAAATATTTCTTTTGTTAGTAGTTATTTGCTAAACAGTAGTATACAGCTTGTAGCAAACAAACTATCTAGACTACAGTTTATGAACGACATTTGACGTTGGGAAAATGTTACCACTTATCTGGCTTAAATAAGGTTAGAAAATAGGATCAACTGTTAGGTTTATCATAACGAACTGACACCAGCTGTAGTGCAGTCATGACATATAGCAATATGAATGTGATGAATTTCAGACAGAATTCCAACAGGTGCTATTCGATTTGCTCGTCTATAGATTGTAGTCTCGCTCGAAAAATGTTCCCTACTAATTGAAGTAGCAAAATTGGTAAACATGATATAAAATTCTTTAAAAGTGAACCAAATAGTGATCAAATTTGATCAGAAATTTCATATGCAACTTAATAACCATATACGCAGATCCATGTAGTAGACCATAAAATATCATTACTGATAGAGTATAGCTAAGTAAACTTTACTAAGTAGGAACGAACCAAAGACTTTCTCGTTATCTAGTTAAACATGTTAACTAATAAGTCACAATATCACAAGATGAGCAAAATATGCCAAAATGTTTTAATTGAATGCAACTTTGCTTAACGTATTATTAGATAATTGAATTAAATGTAGATAGCGATGAACTATGAGATGATTTCATCCAACATTGATCGCCACCATTAACATGAACAAAATATTACATTGTTTAGATATTCGAATGTATGAAGCGCATATAAAAAGCTACAAAATATTCGAGGCAAGTGCATAACAATCCTTCCACACACATACACATATTAAACACTCATTTTATTGAATAATTTTAATAACTAACAAACCAACATTCATCAATTAACCTAGTTTTAAATAAGAGGAACGTAAAAATACCAAACTGGGTTTATTACCTATATATATGCTTCACATGTAGGTACAGCTAATATGTAAATAGATCACTAAATACTAAAACAATAACCATGAGCTTATAATGTTGCTTCATTATTTTAGTTATAATAAAAAAGGTAGATGTTCGTGGAATTTCTAAGCACATCCTAGAGAATCAGGTTTTCGGAATGAGAGTTTCATCAAGCCTAATTTAACCGTATGAGTACGGTTTACAGTTGAGATCAGATTTTCAGGATACGATGTATCATCTAATAAGAATTATGTATTTGAACTTATTCTAAATTATTTAAGGTGCGTAAGAATGATTGCATTCACTCTCTCACTGTCCCTCTTTTTACACATTCATATATGCATTTGTGTTTTTGTGAATTGACTAACAAATTATCTCATCTTTTCGTAGGTATGAATAAACCCATAACTTATGAGAGATATTCCAAAGTTCATTTAAATTCCATTCGATATGGCTGACAGAATATAATAATAATACTAGAACCTTGTGCAATAGATTATGTAACGGTATTTAAAGTTGCAGGAGTTTGAAATAAATTAAGGAATACAGAACAACAATCGGTTTGATAGATATAATATTGATGTTCGTCATTAATTGGTGGAAAATAAAGGATTAGTTTATGGGAACGATAGATATTGATTTGAAACTATTAATTCTATGGTCTTTAATCGTTTTTACTTGAATACGGCTTGAAATCAAATGACTAAACCTGTACTTATTAAGTGAGAATAATATTCGAGATGGTAGGATGCGCCCAAATAAATGGCAAGACTTTAGAATTAGCCTAACCGTTTTGATTGATACAAGTTTAGAATCTTGTCAGTTAATTAACAATATTATCGAAAAAGATACATTAGTCAGTGAAATAGTTGAGAGAAATTGAGTCAACCTGACAGTAATTTAACATCAAGAACTAATATTGATCGATAATTTGGTAAGGGTCAAAAAACCTTTACCAAATGGACCTCTTATGTAATCAAGAATTTTTAAAAACAATGGGATCACATAACCCATTTCTCTGGACAAGAAACCGGTGGATAATCACTGAGTGGTGTACGATTTATGTAGTGCAATCCTAGTGGCAAGTGTCAGCGACTCAGTAAGTAGATTGCTGTATATGCGTAAACCAACCGTCTCAGTCAAAAAAGGTTCAGAAATGAAATGATAGACTGATACCCAAAAATGATTTAGTCATGCTACGAATTCACTGAAATGAAAACTATTTATTTATGCAGTTATCCATTAATGGCATGATGGAACTCTTTGGAGCTCCAATAAATGTACGTTACGAACATGTGATCTAGGAACTGAGTTAAAAGTTACACATACGACTCTGTACTTACAGTATTTACATTACTACTGTACTTTTGGCAAAGAAACCACCTTGAATACACTTTCCAAACATGTGCTAATAAAAGATGCAAAAACAAACTCATTTGTTTTTTCCAACTAATTTATTCATTCGAATTACAGTGGGTGATTCTGATCTAACAATCTAGAACTAAAACTTCTTAGTAGTACTTGATTTTTTAAAGTTGCGAACCATACACACACACACTCTCTCTCTGTTACACACACGTAGAGTAGTTTATCATGAATTCATGAAGTATTTTACAGCAATAACAAAATGTGAGCACACAGCAGAAGCAGCGGTGGACTGGTCAATACTTATAAATTGGTAGGTACATTAATAAACAATGTATTGATCAATATTAACCGCGAATTTTAATTCGTGATAACACTACACATCAAAATAACATGTAGTTTTAGTTTATCAAGCTAAATTACTTGAAAAGGAAATAATGAGACATTTAGATAAAGTATAAGTGGGAGTAATGAGTTAGATATTTCGGAATGTGTAATATGTGTGTCAGTCGTTAAACGCTCAAGGCATCACCAGCCAACCGACCTAGTAGTTGCCACACTAGCCTTTCAACCCCACCAGGATACAGACTTAACAGTTTCGCCATGCAAAGGCAATTGTTGGCAGACAATGATAAAAATAAGTACTTGAAAATCAGTACATCTTCTACCTTCATGGGTTAAGAGATGAATTCAAAGCATAAATAAGAAATTTCAATAGCGTTAACGAGTGTTCCTCTGCAATGATAGAATGAATGACACACACACATACTACCACCGACATTAATCCCGTAGTTGAAAAGTTGACTACACAATTGGACAAGATCTTTTGACAGAAACCCTATGTTTAGTACACATGCATTTTATAAAATGGGTAACATCAAAAACAAATATTCATAAATTTTTCATATTTAATAGTTGAATTCATGAGTCAATTAAAGCTAGACCACTATGGAAAACCTGGAAGTACTGGACAGACGTTTCATCCTAGTATATGGGACATTTTCATATTATCACAAATTAAATATTAGTGTTTATACAACCTTCTTATTTGCATTTTCATAGCTTAAACTAATCTTATTCACATATATTATTATTATAACACCTGCCAATGTTTTATTCAGCACTCAGCCCTATTTACTAATTCGTACCTAATTCATATTATTCTACATATTACATGATTCCTAATTTGTAATCACATTATTATCTCTCTCACGCCATGTTAACCATATTTATTCTGATCATTAATCCCATAATTTCATTTAACGTATAAACTTAGTCAAGTCAATACTCCATACTAGTCATCCAAACATTAACATTTTTATTTTATAATACAAATAATTTTTAAACGATGTATTTTGCCTTAAACCTGGTCATATTCTTCGATCATTAATTTGGATATACAATTGTAGAACTTGGAAAGAAATTATTAAAAAAAAAAAAGAATTATCATCGTTCATATATCCCTTGTGTAAGAAAAACTGATTAGCACTCGCATCTAGATCACTGAATGATTAATCAGTCAGATTAATGAATGTATATAACGTGAAATAGATGCATAAACAATAAATGAAAAGTGTATTTAGATTAAAAAAAGATTAAGCGCTCGCGCGCGAGACTGATAGGTCCTGAGCTCGAATCTCGCGGGTGGCAGGATCGTGGATGTGCAGTGCTGAGGAGTCCCATACTAGGACGAAACGGCCGTCCAGTGCTTCCAGGTTTTTCATGATGGTCTAGCTTCAATTGAATCATGATTTCAACTATTAAAAAAAGTTTGTACAAACATCCATTGCATCATAGCAATTAATATTATCCTTAACGTTATGAAGCTAACTAATCAATCGTAGATGCACACAGATAAGTTCCATACTAAGACGAAACGACTGCCCAGTGCTTCCAAATTTTCAACGGTGACCTAACAATGACCGGTTCATGATTTAAATGGAAATCAATATGAATAATATCGCAACGACCTGTAAGTTAACGTTTTCGAGATCCAGATATATTTTCTTGATTATGGTATCATCGGTTCACCCTATATTATCTTACTAACAATGCTCATATAAGTAAACCAAAAACAAAGAAATTTAGTGATATACTTATATGATGACTTTATTTGATGACGCAAATAGGAGATAGGACGGGGGATGTTGGCAAGCATTAATGAACAGAGGGAAATCAACTACAATCTTCAATAAAATTTGAACTATCAACCCACAGAAAATCAATATTACTTTAATCCAACATGCGACTTGGTAAAATATATGCATTAGTCCTCCGTTGCCAAGTAATATATTAACGCAGCAAGAAAAGAAACTAAATAACTAGGGAGGGAGAAACAGGGTCACTAAATGTCGATTCTAACACGTGTATAATTTGCGCAACGAATTTCGTAAATAATTCTTCTTAAAATCATCATCGCTATTGCCATACTATCAGGCTATCTGCTAAATAAGATGCAATTGCTATGATGTAAACTGACTCAAAATTGATCGACCGGTTTGATTGACTAGGATACTTGATACAGGGGTTGATTAGTCAAGTGAATAATTGGAATTCAGCAGAGAACTGAGGTGTTTATTGTATCCCATTAACTAACTGACCACAAGACCTGTAGCTGATGACGCTTTAATCTTAAGTTTGGAATGTCGAACACCTACACCACTGGATATCTAATTGGTTTCAATAACCAGACAAATCTACCACCAACCTTGAAGCCTAAACAAATACAGACGGTAAAAATGGGATAGTACGTTTGCTTTTAGGATTAGTTCAGTTACAGAAATCTGGGAGTATTGAAGCTGAAACTAAGAATTTCTGGAAAACACTAAGATCAATAATAATAAATGTAGGTACTCCATTAATCAGATTTAAAATGAACAAATAAATACACATAACTGTTTCTGGGTTTCACAGGGCATTTCCGAAAAGTCCTGGTCAACTAAAAAGTAATTCTGGAATAATTTGCAACTTCTTGAGGAAAATACTTTGATTAATATAATTACAATTACTATCTCTAGGATTAAGAATTATCAGTTTAGTATAGTTATTTGAAGTGTATGTGTTTGAATACGCACAATTCATTATAAAAGAATGTAAAATACGGAAATGAGCAACATGTGAAGTGGGGAAAACCACTACAAGTACTACGGCCCAAATTAATTTTAGCCACAAGATCTACCATTCAATCCAGTTCCAAATGATAAAAGTGAAAACTAATGATAACTACGATGGACAGCTATCAAGTGTTGTCTAACTATTATTGAGCTCTCTGAGCTAGGTGGTTTCATCGTGAAGCTTTATGTTTCTTTCTAGACAATATCATCAGCACTAACTTCACGTAGAAATGATCTATAAAGAATTTCCGTAGATTACATCAATTTTTTAGCAAGAATTTCTTTCAACGTCACTCTAAACTTGCTTGATGCAAGTTTGTTGTACGTGAAACCATGTTAATTATAAGCAGTAGTAATTGCAAAAAATAAGAAAATATCGGAAAATAAACGTGATCAGTCAAAACATCCATACTTTAGAATCAAATTGTTTTTTTGCATATTCTTCATGAGGATTATAAACTTCTAAATTCTCTTGAATCAAATTATCCATTTCTGTATTGTGATTTGCAGTATTTACAGGAGTAACTGTAGTAGGTGTAACCACAGGTGTATGACGAACGACTGTGGCCTAATTAATTAAAAACGAGAGGAGGGAGAGAGGGAGAATATACAGGATAATAAAGCGTTACTCAATATTATTCAACTTACCGAAAAGAAAGAAAGGATTTCATAAGCAAAGTGGAAGAAAGTATGGTAGTAAAAATAAACATCTCATGTACAATCTCACCTTTAATTAGTCTTAAAATGCTGTGTTTGAATTTTTTAGATCATAGTGAATGATCAGATAAAAGTCTGCGATCAGAGGGAAACAATTTAAGCTCATCTGTGAGTGTACATAAGTGTGTGTGTGTGTGTATCGCCGATGATATCTCTTAGGCATGGCCTCCTTACATATAAAACGTATTTAATGTTGATACTCGTGCTAAGCCACTAAAAGTATGTTCATCAGTAGAACTGATAACACCAAACACAAAGTCTTTTTGGATAATAACAGTAACTCATGTTGATGATGGTCACTGTTAACAAGTAAAAAAATATGGCTCAAAACTTCGGTACTAATTACTTCTGAATATGGAACATAATAGTGGAAATACTGTAAAAGTGTTAAACAATCCCAGTAAATTCAACAGATGTGACGTCATATAACATTGCAAAGTAACACTTGGAGCTCTATGTGAAATATATTCTCTATGTGTTCAGTATCACGTAATTTGACTGAGTTCTCACATATCACTTTAAAACCAAGCGAACAGAAAACCAACTTCGGTAGTTGAAAGTACTCAACAAGAAGCTCTAGACATAAATTTTATATTAGACGGCACTCTTCAGCAAGGTGCGGTCTATAATCTTTAATCCTGATCGCTGTTGGATTTGGACCTGGAACAACCAGCCCAACAGAATGGAACGTTACCGCTGAGACTTTCGGGCCATGAGTGACCTACAGAAAGGCTGAGGTACTTATAACTGATTGATTTTCGAGTAGTGACCAATCAAGCTGTGATGTATGTTACCTGTTATAAATACTTACATAAGAATCTTCTACCCAATGATCCAATGGTTGTGGATGAATTTCTATCTCACATGCAACATCGTTTTCATCGATTGTTGTTACATCTGAAGCTAAAACAGAATGAAATTCTCAAATAATGTTATGGAATGGGACATACCTCATCGTTTTAGATAAATTGCAAACAAAAATTTAATTAAGGTTAACAAATTTACGATTAGTCATATTTAAGCTAAATGTGATCACCAACAAAACAACTGGTTTCACTGATGTTTTTAATTTGTCTACGGCCTTATCAATATGCTGATAATCGATTTACCTGTCAAGCTAATTTTTAGACCATTACTACTATGATGATTTCAATCTCATTATTATTCAACTTGCTAATTATATATTATGTTAATTTGGTATGGGGACTTGGGCCGTTGCACATTTGTGCCACGCTCTTAGAAGAATTATGGCTGACTAGTGTTTTACTAATCACTGAAGTGAATCAAAGTTTACAATTAGAGCAGAATAATAATGACAATAAGATGTGTACAAAAACAACCAGAACGACAAGATGATTATTCCTGTGTGAGACAATCAGTCAAATTGCAGAACTGACACAACATAGAAAAAATTACTCAAAATAGTACGAAGCTCAATTTATCAAAACACCAAGTAATGTTGAAACACCGAGTTTCCATTTATGTACGAACAATATTTACACATACAAGAGCAGAGATTAATATTAGATTACTGTCAATAAATTATTACCAAAGCATATTACTTACTCGAAGAAGATCTTGATTCTATTCGTAAACGCTGTGAATTGTAATGAAATTTTTGAAAAGAAAATAAATTAGCAGTTAAGTTGGATTACTAGGTAAACAGTGAATCGTATTAAATGATACTGAAAAGAAGACATTTGATTAAACTAACTGTTTATGATAGGAACGATGAATTTTAGGAAAACACTGATTATATTGGAGAATAAGACAAAAGTCATGCAACGAGACAGAATAAAAGACAAATGAAAGTGACAACAGTTAGTGGAAACTTTCAGACAACATTTAATGGATAAAAACAACACTACAAAGCAAATAAAGGATGCATCAATTGAAGAATTACTTCATTGAGACTATCAACGAATTCGGTTATTTGCTCTTGAGACGAATCTTTAGACATATCTTGTTGGTCAGATGACAATTCATCCACCAGTATTTCGTTGTATTTATGACACTCTTCTTGATTAATTGAAGCTTCCGATGCATAATCTTCATCATTACCATCAACATAATCATCATCATTCTCTTCCATTACAATGGACATACGATCAGGATACCCAATGACAACTTGTTTTATTTCCACATTACGGCTTGATATTAGATTATTATCAGCCGTTTGTGATGGCTGATATCCGATATCACCACCACTACCACCACCACCACCATTATTATTATTATTATTAACAAACGCTTTCTCTGCATTTTGTTCATAATCATCATCATCTGATTTTAATTGCTTTTTTCCTACAGATATTATTTGTTGGTTATCCATCGAGTCCGATAACAATTTCGCAATGTCGAATAATTCATCCAAAGTGTCATATTCATCATCACACTGTGTCACATCGGCTGTGTTATTTTCGCTATCAATGAGGGAATTAGACTTATTATCTGTAGAATTTATTAATTTCAGATTTTTAAACACAATTTCATCGTCTTCTGTTTGTTTATTGGCAATATTATGATGGGCATTAATTGAAGAAACCAGCTCTGGCTTACACTGAGTATCACTCTACAAGTAGACCAGTAGTAGAGGGGTGGGTCAAAACAAAAAGGAACAAAATAGATAGAATGACATTTGATTAGATAATGATGTGCAACTTATCATCATTAAAAACAAACGAATGCATTTACATAAGAGTTCTCGTTACAAATTAATATTAGTTGTAGAGGCGTTAAAAACTACAGTCTGGGGGGGAGGATTTGCTTAATTTTAAGGTTTATCCAGGAGTGTATAGACACCTATGGTGTAAACGAGATCAAACTCAGGGCCTTCAGGAATTGAAAAAAACAATATATGGTCGTGTGATCAAATCAGAATATGATAATCCCCGATTTCACATTCATCGGGTGATAATCGTGAAAACTATATCACTCCTCCCGCCAAATTAATGGATTCCACAAGTCAGTTTCCTGCTACGGCATACGGATATTTAAATTAGAATGATGTAAACTGTAAATACTCTTTACAACTGCTCATTTTCGGATAAACCAACAATACATCGACACAGTTTAAACTAATTCTAGTGAATAAACCGTTACCATTACTAGTGTGTTGAGGGAGCAACCAACATTCCTTTGTGAGTAATGTAAAGTTTGAACAATCGAGACTGTTCTACTAATTTATATCGATACAAAAAAGTCCACATCATTTAAAAAAAAATACAAAGCAGGAAAACAGCACCAACGACACTCTATTCCGCTGACTTAAACAATAAGTGTTTCAGCTCAACTGAAAGGTTAATTACTGAGGAAATATTTTTAATTTAGGATAAAAGATATTGATGCGTAATTATTATCACACCTTTTGGAAGTATTGCTAAGAAACTTTCATATCATTATTTTCATTTAATCTAGTTGTTTAGAGTTAAGAATTGCAAAAAGGAAAAGAGAAGTTACGTATAAATTGATAAAACTTAGCAATAAGTAAAAATATATCTAAACATTTTACGTTGGTTTACATAAAGAATGTTTTACCACTCAGCAACATTTCAATAAACTAAATTGAACTTTTGCTTCTCTTTGAAGGGCATACATTTTATTCAGGATAGACGTAATTTGATAAACTATTAAAAGCCAAGAAATTACAGATAGATATTGTGGTATACTCTCCACTGTTCAATAAGAGTTAACAATAGCAAGCTATCTGACGACAAGACACAGAACTATTAATGTTCATGATAACGGCAATGTTATCAGGACAATAAGTTAGAATCCAAAAGAGTTTACCTCAAGATTTTCGAGTATACATTATACTGTTTGAAGACAGTATAAACAATAGAAGTGGTGGAGGTTGTGAAGTATCCGAAACCTTCAAATACGAAACATCTAGATAGTTTCATACTTATTTTCTAACTATTCTTCAGATAATCGATTCATTTAAAATAATCAATTTTCTGGAAAAAAACCCTTCCTTTCAACCAATCTTTTTATTTGAGGTACAAATCAGACAATCAATTGTAAAAGGTAACATACTACATGTATGATTAGTGAGAAAGCAAAAAAAACCAAACAACTGGTTTTCAAACAAGTGCTTTAATTGTTTGTATACCACCATGTTTGATAGAAAAAATCCGAAAATAGTGGAACTGATATCAGTTGAAATACTTATCAGCGCGTTATGAATCCTCTAATTTCGTCAGTTAATAATTACTAGTATTTTTAATAGCACGCGCTACGTATTCTTCAAAAAACATAAAGCACTTTAAGTAACTGACAAAATACATTATTATACTAATTAATAATGATGCGTGCATTTTAGTAATGTAATGCGACAAATGCTTTCAAAGAATTGATGTTAAAAAAAAGCTGAAGTTAGGCATAGGTTATTACGTAAAGAACTGCAGATCTCTTGATTGACATCCACGTATTAGTCACTTATGGGTGGAAACAGCAAAATGGCTTAAGATGACTAAGTATAGAAAACGTACTTATGATATACTTCCCTTCCAATTTCCATTCTCCAATGTTATTTATTAATTTCAAAGTGCATCTTTGTGGTGTTTTCACTACCAATGATGTTAATTAGATTATCTTTTATGGCGTTGTTGCTGAGAATTGTGTTGACTGGAATCAGTGGACATCTCTACGAAAAGTCCTACTTTGTCCATAGCTAACTAACAAACAAGTACACTTATTTAATATAACTTGAAAATACAGTAAATAAATAATTTTCCTCTAAAAAAAACGTGAAAAGAAGCTCATCTTTGTATTGGTTGTTTGAATCTTCCCCCCAAATACCTGATACGGCCGAGAGTGGGGAAAGTCCGCTCTCCCTCACGAAATGTTCTCACATGGCCACGCGTATATAGCCTCCGCCAGGGAAGTCCTGCTCACTGCCTTCTCGCACCACGGGTGTTGTTTACGAAATTGAGAGGACGAAAAGCGAACGTCCGGCGCTTTAACCGGGTTGGTAGACATGGAGAGTCCACCTAGGGGAGTTGGAAAACCCTGATTCTAAACCAATGATGCACATGGGCTCCAGGATTCTGAAGGGACAAATGGCGTATGAAGTAATTGTCGATCACCGGCTACCATGGGACTGAATCTCCTTACGATGGTCCACTGCCTTGTGGACCAGACCATGTCAAAGGCTCCGGGTGTGGCCCCCTTAGAAAACTACCTGCTTCGGTTTGGGCACTCGGGCAGTATCACAGCCCTCACACATATCAAATGAGATATGTGTGGCGCATATGTATTTGGTGTCTCCTTGTACCAATATCTATGTATTAAAATAAATAAATCTTCCCATTGGTGTTTAGGCCTGCAACTAATCAGTCTCTTATTGGCATATGTGTATCCTGTGCGGATCGCCTCGATATTGCCTTGAGTCCCAAGCATCATAAGCAGAGATGAATCTTGACTAGCGATAAATTGTACTGTTATTTAAATAACTGATATGTTGAATTATCATTTTCGCAATTTAAACAGTTGTTTATATTTTTAGTGAATATAACCTGTAAATTAATCCCATGCATATCAAAATTTTTTATAGATAATAACTCCAAATTTTAATAAACAATCCAGGTACACAAAAGTAGTCGTGTGTGAATTGTTAGCTATCGTCATTGAGAGTGAAATAATGAAGCATAAATAAATGAATTACAATTTTTCCACTCGATTCATTTCTGATATTTTGTTGTTCAGATGTCAATTATTTATATAGTTCTTGACATAAACATGATCAGATTATATTTATTCACGTTACGGTCTTTGGAAAAGAATTTCGTAATAATGTCTCTTATGAATGAACATACAGTTAAACTTCCAATGTTTAGTGTGACAAAACAAGAGTTAAAGTATTTGCTACTATTGAAAATTTATTATTATTTAAGTCAATTTTCAAGTATTGAGGTAACATACAAGTGAGGCAGCTACTCACTAGGTACAATGGGAGGTCGTTGAGAGGTATTAAAAGTTGATTTAAGTTAAACATGCAAATCAATGGATGCCGGCTCAGCAGTCTAGGGGACAAGCGATCACGTGTGAGACCTAAGACCCAGAGGTCATGGATGCCCACTGCCAAGAATTCTCATACCAGTATAAAACAGTGCTTCCTGGTTTTCAACGGTTATTTCAGTCAGTCAGTAACAACGTAGAACTTCGTACGTACGTACGTCAGTTCGAGTTGCCACACCACATTAGCACAGAGATGCAGTTGTCGATTCAAATCCCGTAGTGGTAGAGGCGGTAAGAGTATAGGCAGTAATCGGAAACATTAGTGTTTGAAGATAATTCAGTGAAATAAATTTGGGAAGAGAAAAAAGACATAGAGGATTCAAGATATTAGAAATCGGGAGAACACAAAGAGTGAATGCACCAGCGCCTTTGCAAACGATTTTGAGCCATGTCATTCAGGGTCTCTAATCATAGGTTGCTATCATCTCGCGGTCCCCAACCAGGCAGTCTACACCTAACAACATGACTCAGTCCAATTGTCAGTGACTTTATGAACTTGTGCCATGTTTTGGTCTGGCCGCCCCTAACTTTCTTCCAACCTACTCCTATACCACTGAACATCGCACGTCGAGGTAGTCGGTGGTTGGGCATACGTAACACGTGTCCCAGCCATCTCAACTGATGAAGTTTCACTACTTCACCAATTAATTTGCCATCCTTACCTAGTACCCGTTTCCTAACAACTGCGTTACTTACTCGATGGTCCCAGGATATACGAGCAATATTTCGAAGACACCTATGATCAAATACTAGTAACCTACCACAATCGATTGATCACTGGGTGGTGATCAATGTCATGTGTGTCAAGTCCTTATTTAGTGCAGATCGAATGCTCTCAACCATCCGCCAGGGAGCACCAGTTCCCTCAAGATTACAGGTACACTTTGCTGACGAGTGCCAAGTAACACGGAACCCGGGTCCAGGGTTTCCTGTCGACTACCTCCAACCACCAACTAGTAACCTACGAACATCTACTCTTACCGGCCATGTTTCACTGCCATAAAGTAGGACGGAAAGAACCGCCGCGTAGTGAATACGTCCTTTGTTTGACAGACGGATATCTCGCCTACTCCATAAATGACGCAAGTTGGCAAAAGCTAGTCGAGCCTTCTTTATCCGTGCTGAGATTTCGTTACACATCAGACTATAAGGGCTTATGAGACTTTCAAGATAAGTGAAGCGGTCGACACACTCAACTACTTCACTCCGTATCATCAGCTCGGTAGTTTAATTAATATCAGCCCGTCATCCAAATTACAAGATGCGAGTATTTGACTGGTAAACATTCCATATGAATATTAAAATCAGTCAAAACATAATGTTTGTAGACAAGTTGAATATAAAACTTGGTGGCTTCAGGAATTTTAGTGATTCTCGAGTTCTATTCTAAATGTTCATCGGAGGAAACAACTCCAATTGTTGATTTTAGGAAGCTGTTCAACTAAGCTAAAGACTTAATAACTAATATGAATCCTTTGAACTATTCTAACGCACGTATTTATGGTGATCAATTCAGTTTTCATGAAATTATTTCAATCCAATTTAATGAAACTCGGTAATCTAGTACAAGTTATTATCGTATGAAATATGAAGAATACGCATAAAAGAGTATGATAAGAAGTGGAAAAACTCAAGTTAGCCAACTTTAATCATGTCTTTTATACGATGATGATATGAAAATGTAATTATCTCAACAAAACATATCACTACTATGAAATCTATGTGAAAACTGTGTTAGCAACCTGACACAAACAGTAGTGTAAGTGTTTACTTATGATTTTTCATTAGTTCAGTGGATGATTTTACTAAACAACCGTATTTGATTGCTTTTTTTACATCGTGTACACGAGAGAAACTAAAATAACATGGCAATTTTTAACGAGTTTTAATTCCTATAAAAAAAACTATTAAAACTAAGTTGTATAATTTCTGTAGTGTTAACACAAAAATCCTAACATTTCAATAAAGATAATTGCTCAACGGTCAAAAAACACTGATTACTGTTAATGAATTTTTAGAACGAGGATATACCTGACGGGTGGTTTTCAAGTTTGGCTGAGTGGACACTCAAAAGTCAGAGGGTATCAACCAGATGGTATTAAATTCTGCCTAAAGGAATTTACATATCCTTTGTCACGTAGCACCACAAAACGTTTCTTCATGTGTAAAGACGTATTCGCTATTTGTATGTTCAAATACTAGTTACACAGAAAATTCAACTGCCCATTGAGATATCTTACTTTTATTAAAACATAGTGGAAACATTTCGACTAGTTTAAATTCACACTGTAAGAATAAGCGGAAACTATTCAAAACAAAATAAGCATCACCATACTTTACTCACTTAGTCATGTGATAACTAAGTATCCAACAATGTATGATAAACTATTCAACATTATTGTTTTAGTGACAATCTCATCCACAGTGCACAATTAAAACATAACCGTGGGAAATAAATCTAATAAATACTCATTACTTTATGTTATAGAAATATAGATGATTTTTACGTCTACTCACTCCATCATGCTGATTTTCTTGTTCGTGTATAATTATTGCCAATTCTCTTTGATCATCATGTTCATTATATGAATCCATCTTGTTAAATAGTTTCTAAAGGACTAAAAAACACAGAATGAACAGTTTTGACAACTGAATGTAAACAACTACCTCAATTGTTGCTTAATTTTATCATAGTAGTCCTAAAAATGGGGAAATTAATGTAAGCAACGCAAACTAAAACGGAGTGCATGAGCTAAAATCTTGGTGACATGGAAAGATGATTATTCATTAACTTATTTAAACACATAAACATTGGTACAAAGAAACACCAAATATATATGCGCGACACAAATCAAATTATTTGTGTAAGGGCTGAGATACTGCTCTGGCGCCCAAACCGAAGCAGGGTTTATTGCAAGCTTACTGAAGTTTCTACACAGCTAAAACCGTTGATTGGAAGGCTAAGAAATACAAATCCTGGAAAAACAAGGCAACAAAAAGATGGACCATCCAAGCGAAGTGACAATGCTGTAGAGAATTAAAGGATATAAGTGTAGCACAATCGAAAAATGAGTATGAGAAGTATTTATCAAAACACAGCTCTACAAAAAAAATTGATTTGGTCAAGTGAGATCGTATCACTTGTATAAAAATTGTAATGAGTAGTTACAACATCATCCTTAGTCCTCTATTGTAAGATTATTGATAACATTTTAAGCTACACCACCTCTACTACCGTCGCCAAGTAACCGAGATGAACTCATATATCCTAGTTCTATCGATCCATCGGTCAGGGTAAAGTGTCATAAACTGACCACCTTTCGGTCTTTTAATCCAATTCTAATATCAGCAAACAATTCACGACAAGAAGTTCGTTGAGACGACATCGTAGAGCATGATCAAACCGCTGAAGTCGGTGTTGCAGATTAATGGCACCAACTGAGTTAGTCCGACTATCCATATTTCATACCGCTCTTCAGTTAAATATAACAACCTCAGTTGTAACGATTGTTTTCTGGTGACGCAATACTTGGTGCTGGTCATATCAGTGGTCTCTCTACTTGTTTTACTGCTAAAACTTTCCAGTGATTTTCAATGGTTGGTGGACAGTTTTATTAGCGGCATTATCTAACATTCAGTGACCAGTATGTTGTAGATGCCGACGAGAAATTTTCCGAATTTAGTATCGACGGCTTTAACTATTGGGTATGGTCGCGAACTACTCGTCTGAAAAAGAAATAAGCTGTTGGTACCGAAGATAACAACAAAATATATATCCATTAAATGTATAGTAGTAATAGATGATTCCTGAAACAAACAGACGACTGGAAGTAGTGCAAGTAAAAAAAAACATTTTAGGCTGGATCCCATCAGTAATTCAGTTTATTGTCTTTTAATGGATCCAATGCTGTTTTCTAATACAGATGTAGTGTTTCAAATTGAATCCCAATGAAATGATCACAAGAACCCTCAGTATTCCCATTAAGATTTCCCAATAATAATCAATATGAACAACAACTACTAAACATCAGGCATATTTGGATAGGATGGAAATTAGTTTTCAAGTATAGATATCATATGGGTATTTTGGCAGAAGGTATGTGCTGAATTGTACGAATTAACGATCCCTCTAGTGTCTAAGTGGTGGTGTCGGCGGAGTGAGTGATGAGGTTAATTCACTTGTAGTGAAAGCTAAAGAGGCTTATGCTAATCTGGGTCGTCTTTGGTGCCTTCGTGATGTTAGTCTGGCTGTAAAAGGTCGTATCTACAACGCGTCAGTGAGAGCAGTTTTGCTCCATACTTGTGAAACCTGGCTTCTCAGAGTTGAGGGTACTAGAAGACTCTCTGTGTTTGATCATTGTTGTCTTTGGAGGATTGCTGACATTCAGTAGCAACACCATGTTCCTAATGCTGAGGTTTGGCATCATGTGTCTGAGCACTGCGACAATAATTCGATTAGTGTCACTATCTTCAAAAATTGGCTTCGATGGCTTGAACGTGTCTCGCGGATGTCGTCCCAGAGAATTCCACGTTGTGCATTATTTGCTGACACTGAGGCTGGTTAAAAAAAAGCAGAGGTGGTCAGTATATGGTGTCGTAAATATGAAAGAAAGCTGTACAAGAATGGCTTCTGTTGTCTCTTCGCGACTCCTTGGCTGGGACCCTAGATATAGTACAACACTGGCTAGAATCGTCATCAGCCATGGCTCAGAATAAAAGCCAGTGGCGATCCTGCTGTAACTTCCTCTTACTTTAGCGAGACTCTAATTTAAGGACGAGCCAACCAAAGGCGTTTTAGAGATTTCAAGGTTACGGCGCCCACTTCGGTGCTTAATGCTAACGTACGATCGGTTCACAGAGAATTTCGTACAAAGCGTGATAATTGAGCGACTATAACAAATAAAACGGCGGGACTATAATTTGTGGACGAAACAATCAGGTATAAGATAATAGATCTCGGATTTTAACGCGAAAGCCTTTTATCCATTTGGCTGGATAAATTCCTTGCATTATAGCTGATGTCAGTTCGTGATGAAAACCCCATATATAATTCCTAAGGCAAATTACGACAGTTATTGCGAACTGGATAATACAAGCACCAGTGACAGTGGCTGCAGCCAGGTACTACAATATATACGGATGTCTAGAGAACGTACAGACTCCTACATAGGCTTGGTTATGTGCATCGTGTCGTTATCCACAAGTAGCATTTTCTGCACTCAACAACCGGATTGCACACAAACAATATTGAAGCTATGTGGTCGAGGCTGAAAAAGTTTTTGAGACTTTATCATGGTTCTAGAGGATGACTATTCTGTAGCCGTATGGATGATTTCCTCTAATGCATGCATTACGATTTTAGAACCTCTTTCTAACCTTGACAAGTTTTTGAACCACGTATAAGAAGTGTATCCACTTTACTTTCTTGGTTTTGTATAAAATATTTTTATTTCATAATGTCTGTTTGCTGGTTGGCTAATATTTCTCAAGGTTACTTAAAGTTCGTTCAAAGGTCGTCCATAAATTAGTCTCTCAGAAACTGTCTCCCAAAATTATTATTAATATTCCTATTATTTATCTCTTATAAACCAAATTCATTTTCATTTTTGTTCTTACTCATTACACGCACTTTGCATTCTCTGTCTCTTCACAACCTCAATAATAATATGTGGGCCATATGCATTTGTTTCACCCTTGTACCAATATTTGTGTCCAAATAAATAAGAATTTAACCAAAAACGTAGAAACAATGTAAAAGTTAAAGTTTCGCACTAGCCACTTTGGTTACCTTTAGCTAAGCATTTGTATATCCCAATAACTTAACACAATTTACCGATATACAGCCGAAATTCTTTAATTGCAGGTATTCATAACCACTGGAAAATATTGTACTACAATGCCTCGGTTAGGGTTGGGGTAAGCAGTACTAAAGTGTGTAGACCACAGTGGATTATTACGACGTAAATTATGGCGTGAAAAAGCTTTACCAATAACAGTAACAAAACTGAGTCTATTGCAATAGTTTTACGTAGGAAATGATTTAGAAGAATACTAGTCTACATGTTACACCAGAGGTGACCAGTAATCACTTAAAAACCAAGTCGAGCGTTATTCTTGTCAGAAGGAGAAGCAAAATATTCCTACCGGAAATTTCGAAAGACACGCAATCGCATATAAATTCACGTCGTATCGACAGCTAGATTTACTGGGAGCAGCTATAACTTACGAATTGCCGCCACCGATAGCTTAACCTGCTGAATAGGTATTAACGATTTCAATAAACAAAAAGATTTTATGTAATTTGGCTAAAGTTTATTTGGATTGTGAACAACTGAATTGCTCCTAATTTTCATCTCCCATGAACCGAAAGGAATGAACAAAAGGAGAAATCGAGAAGTAATATAGAGTGGCCAGCTTCAATTATTTTGGAGCTGAAATATGTATCTTTTAAGAGAACCAACGAAAGCTATAATTATGAATATTTCAATTGGCAATTCCACTGGTCTTTAATATAAATAACGAAGGCAACTTTACGAATTTTAGTATTCATTTTTTTGTAATATACCCCAAGTAGATACACCTCAGATGTAGTTTACTTCATAAATATCCTAATAGTCTCTTAGAACAAAGACAATTATAGTGATACCAAGCACATTTATAGCATTTACAGTGTTTTCACGCACTTAAAAAGTGATAGTTCTAATGTCTACAAGTGAGATGAGTAGTATATTTGACAGGCTTCCTGAAACGAATTGTTTTATATGCAACGAGAGCTGGTAATTTCCTAGTTAGTTATACAAATCAATTAGTCATACCATGAAAAATCCACATTTAGGGATCACATTTATCATTCCAGATCCATAAATAATTGAAAAGCTATAGACCTAGATGTTGAATCACGCAGCAATTGCTGGAACTGTTGTTGGGGTGAACATTTCATAGATAACAGTAGTCATGCAGACCACGATATGTCGAAGACTCCATAACATAAATCATTTCTGTCACATATTAAAAGACAGAGAATTGATAGTTTGCAAGGGTCGTAGTAATATTAATACTTCATCCTCATAAATATCTAACCAGTGTATCAGGAGCGAAGGTCAATAAAATTTTCGTGCCTATAGGTAACACGCCTGCTAGTGATAGAAGAAACCAGACAAGTAGTGAATAGGTCTTTGTTTTTCTTCGCGCACTCACAGTGGAGCGTGGGATTATTTGTTCAGACAAACATAGCCTCTCAACATTCAATATAAGATAATAGGAAATATAACGCCTATACAAAATAAGGAAGTGAATAAATACTTGAACTAAACTGTTTTGGCATATGTGTGTTTGTTTGAGGTCAACTCTTAAGCAACCAACTCAAGCTGTTACAAACTTTCTCCTCAAAAAGTCTGACACCTTGACTTCATATAAAACGTTTCACCGATGTTCGTCCAGATTTTGTAGATTATTTTACGCGTTTGAAAGATTTTAATCATCTATTTACATACACAAACAGTGGTCATACCAGTAATTGAACCCTGAGCTTAAATAGTGGCAGATGCTTTCATCCGCAACAGTGTTAGATTCTTGTCACACTTATAACGATAACGACCGATAGAGTAGATCACTTCAAACCTAAGCTATTCAACACCGTATTTAAACTTTGACGCTTTAACATAATATTTCGCGCAACACATCATTACCAGGATAATGTGATGGTCAGACTTTTCCAACTCGGCTTAAAACCTAATGTCATGCTCAAATCCCACACATTGGGCAGAATTCCTACAATCAATTTTGTTAGGAATAAGAACAGCTATCAAAACTGATTTACAGTATTCAGCATCAGAGCTGGTCTTTGGGAAGACGCCAAGCGAGTTTACCATATATAAACCAAATTGCCTTATTTTTCCAACTTTGCAGTTGTACTGTAAACATCTTCCCCACTAATTTTTAACTTCAACTAGACAGGCGACTCACTGAGCCCATCGATACTCGGTCGCTAAGAGACGCTCACTACCATCCTAAAAACGCAAAGAACCGCACAGTGAACTGCCTACTACCAGTGGCCCTGCATCTATGGAGCCTGTCACCCATCGACTTGTTGGAGTAGCACAAAGTAACATTAGCACCAAGTTATTGTGATTTCCTTGTCTATTTCTCATCAGCTTTCTACTCTCCTGTACACTATATTGAATTACCATTAATTTTATTTCACCACTCGTTACCTTACCCATAACTCATATATTTCTATACACTTCTACCTACTTCGGTAAACAACTATCCAGCATTATACCCTTGTTATTGCCTGTACTTTGATTGGCAACCTATACTTCGTATTATAGTTAAATAAAGCATTGCATCAATGCCCTAGCCACTGTCTATAATTTGTAACTGCCTGATAAGCATGTAAAATGGCACTTGTAGAAACAGTGTTTTCCAACAGGATGTGAAACAGAGCATTGTGTAAGGTATGATGTGTATCCGAAAAATAAGCTTAAGTAATCCTAACATCAAAAAACGAGGGAGGGTAGGGTTGCTGACCAGCCATCATTGATGATGAGGGCGATGATTTCAATCCACCCATGTTTGTAGGGCACAACATTTTGTTTGTGTCAGGTTCTTTGTGATTGAGAACAGATAAATCAATCCGTGATATTGAGGTCGTTTTCCTAAGCTCACCATTCAGACTCATGTTTTCAATTTTGTGCTGGATTAACTTTTTTAATAAGACAGGGTATAACATGCTAACTCGGACTTTTACACTATGACTGTGTGGCAGGCATCCGATAGAAGAAAACGAGAAAAACTCAGACAATGGGAGATACAGTCATTAGTTTCATTAACACCTTAGCTTTCACAGGCACTATATTCCTTATTATCGTATGCTGTATGTTGAAATTTTTGTTTGCTTGAATTAGGACCTTGTGCTCCGAATTTCCTATCCCATGAGTTGAATGAGAATCCAATCCATATGTAATACGAGGAGTAACTACCAACGTTAAAACACTAAATTAGGCATTATTTTCAGGCTTGGTGAACGTTCAAGATGAGATCTTTTTGATTTGTAAATCAATCTAGATTCATGAGGTTCTTGTTCGTCACTTGAACGACCATAGGAGGTGGTATATAAAGCTAGGCTATGGGTTCTCGCACACATGTTATCAAATATTATGGATTACGTTATTTATCAGCTATCAGTAGCACTTTTGTCATCACACGTCGATTTTTCTAATGCTTATGCTTATTAAATATCTTTTATCCCAGTTAATTAGTAATTTGACTTAGTTGCTGTTCACGTAATAAGATTGATAAAATTGATGGAACTATTAACGAAATCGGTCAACAAATTGACTTGTAATTATCATTAAATAGTGTTGTTTTCTCGGTATCTTCATCCATTACAGATGACTTTAGTATGTTTCCTTATCGGTTGTTCAATCAGTAAATACCTTAAAAACATATCAGTCTAACTGGAGGTTGAGCGACACAATCATGCATGCAAATCATTAGTATAAACAATCAAGCAAATCCGCAAACTGAAAACACTGTCGAATTTACCCCAACACTGACTAAGGTTCAAGCCATTATCACAGGCATTAGTTGGGAGTGTACTCCCCTTGGTTACAACTTATGTTCTCCCTGATAATCACATGAGCATCATTCGCTGTTATTCATCTTGTAAAGACTCATTTAGCCGAAGATATCTTGCAGCACTACATCACCCATAGTTGTGGAACATAGGCTTAGTCGATTTCTACGACTTATAATCACTATATCAATTAAATCGTATTCCGCCTTATGCTAAACTGCATACTTGCGACTACCTTGTATGAACCATCAGCCGGTAGAAATAAATATAAATAAATGATCTCTGGTAAAGCAGAACATTGGGTCTAGAGCATGTCTTTCACGAATATACTCATGTTTAACGATTTGATCTTAGCTATCCATCCAAAATTCACATAATTATAACTTTTCACGCATTTAAAATTTTTTGATAACCATTCATATGCATTAGTAGTATTACTAAATTCTATCACGGTCAAGGAAAAATGAGGTCGAAGAAATCTCCCCATAACTAAGTAAACCGTATCAAACTAACTGAAACACTAGTTTGGATTCTTCTCCACGGTAATACTTTTGTTCTATAAGTCAGCGTACTAATACAGATACAATTGTAAATCAGCTCATATGGACAGGTTACCGGCATTACCGGTTTGATTTCATCATTCAAACCAAAACTAATGCCGGTATTAACATTTCTACAGTACTCATTGTTTTTAATTTCTGAACACGAAATTTTATTAACGTACGGCTATTACTACATATCTTACGGTGATTTATTGAAATATCTGTACAAGAACTCTTAGTTTTTTTTCTCCCACCTCATTAAAGTCTTATATAATCTTCACGTAGATTTATATTTTTGGGGTGCTTGGAATAAAACCAGACATTTTAAAATTACTTATACGGCCTACAACTTGAGCCGTTAACCAAATGTTATTACAATGCATTTTAATGTAACTTGTTAAAATATCCTTTTACCAAATTTTCGTTTTAAGCGTGTTAAGCGTTAAAACAGATGCTTTATTACGTGTATTTCCTGATCAGTTGCTGCCTGCTTTTTGATTCAATTTCAGCTTATCAATACTCGGAGGATACTTATTATTCTTCGTAACCTCCGGCGGGCGACAACCCCATCCAATTCGGTATCGAACCAACATCACGTTGATTCTGGTGGGAGAGTGGTGTAGTGGCATTGGGCCTTACCCACAAAATCCTCAATGCTGAACACGAGATATTTGAGAAAATAGATGCTCAATATTTAACGTGGAGAAATACCCAACGATTGAGAAGGCGGGAACAAGGAATTGGATTAATTCAAGTTGACCGGATGGCATGGCTCAGCCTTGCAAGCGTGGTCCCTGCTCAATGTCACCTTATATCTTTTATTCATATTAAATATATTGCCCTATCTCTAGCTTAAGCTTGTTCTCCATCATGTATTGGTGATTGTTACGATACAATGAGTTGGTGTAGGCGATGATGTGACTTCCATGTAAGATCTTATAGATTAGGCAGTTATATCATGACAAATTTACAATTTAAGGACCAGGTCTATTATTAGAGCAGTACTAATTGTAAGATCCATTTTGAAGGTTTTATGTGTTGGTGAAAATCCCTCCATGTATATACTTACACCTTGTTCCTATTGATTCTTTTAGTTGTACATTGTTA